AGTCAATAAGAGTTTATTAAGGTTACTAAATACAGAATAAATATGGGGAAAAAATTGCATTTATATTCACCATTAACAATCAAGACACCATTTACCTCAACAAGAAAAGAATTTTAATTTTGAAATCAATTTTATAAAGTTGTATAAGATACAAATCAAAAATTGTTAAATTTATTAAATGTTATAAGAAAGACATTAAAGACCTAAATAATTTTTTTGAATATGCTAAGTTCTCTGATAGAAAGATAGAAATATAAAAAAGATGTCAGTTCTGTTCTGGTTGAACTAAATATTCAAAACAATTCTAATACAACTCATATGGTTTTCCATAGAAATTAAGAAATTAGTTAAAATTATATTCTTGACAAGAGGCCAGGAATAATCAAAGCATTCTTAAAGAACACCAAAGCAAGGGGGCCTGTTCTACTGATACCATCATTTATTATTATAAGCTATTAAGATAGTGTGATCTTGGATTAAGGACAGATAAATAGACCAATGGAACTGAATATAGAACCAAACACAAACTTTAATATACATAGAAAGTTGCCTTTTACAGATCAGTGGGGAAAGATTAGACTGCTTGATAAATGATGCTAAGATGATTAATTATCCATGTGGGAGAAAATCAGATCCCTATTGTATTAGGATTCCCTAAAGTCAATTCCAGGTGGTTTAACGGCTTTACTATGAAAGGCAACTCAATAACATTTTAAGAAGACAATGTAAGAGATATCTTTTTAGGATTTCACGGTAGAAAATAATTTCTGAAACATGACACAGAAAGGGCAATCCCTAAAGGAAGAGATTCACAAATTCAATGACATAAAAACTGAGAACTTCGGTTTATCCAAAAACAAGAAAAGAGGAGCAATAAGCAAGCCCCAAATTGCAGAAGATATTTGTAATAAATGGCTAAAAAATGACTGATTTCCAAAATATGTTAAGAATTTCTACACATCTAAAAGAAAAAATAAGAGCAAAAAACTTTTGCAAGTATTTTCACATTTGAAAAATTCTCAATTTCATTAATCATTAGGGAAATGAAATTTAAAATCACAAAATGATATCATTTCACATTCACTATGTTGACCAAATGTGTTAGATATTACTAAGTGCTATTTATATATATATTACTGAGAACTGCTGGTGGGAAGGTAAATAGGAAAAGCTATTTGAAAAACAGTGAGGCATTACCTCACAAATGCAAGAATATTTAGAACAGCACTTTCATAAAAGCAAAAAACTGCAAGTAGCTCAAATGTCCTTCAGCAGTGGAGTAGACCAACTGAGGTGCATTCAGGCAATGGAATACAGCACAGCAGTGAACGTGAGTGAGCTGCGGTTATGTGCATCAGCGTGGATGAATCTCAGAACACAAAACTGAGGGAATGAAGCAGACAAGGGATAAATGCAGCAGTACTCCATCAACTTGAAGTTCAGAAACAGGCCAAACTAAACAAAATATTGTTTATGGATCCATCACAGGTGATAAAACTATAAAGTAAAGCAAGGGAATGATAAGCACATAATTAGGGACAGTATGGGACGGGGTGCTCTTAAGGAGAGGAGAACAGGCTTCTAAGGAATTGGTGATGTTCTGTTTCATAAACTCGGTAGTGGGTACATGGGAGTTATTTTACCATTCTTCTTTGACTATACATATACATCTCATACATTTTCTCATGTATAATATATTTCACAATAAAATGTTCTGAATAATGAATTAGATCACCTTCAGGGGGCTCTTCTAACTCTTAGATTTTGAAATTCCATAAAATTCAGTCTCATTCGAAAAGTTGAAAATCGCTGAAATTGTGTGACAGAATCTTGGGCTTTCTGATCAAGATGTGTCCTCAGTTAGCCACCAGCCCCTTTGTCTTACAAATGAGCTCCAGAGAGCTGAGGTAACTTTTTCAAAATCTCCCAGCACTTGAGTACTAGAACAGGACCATGGACAAAGGTCCAATAACCTATGAAACAGTACATCGTTCACTGACACATTCTAGGGCTGTGTGCAAGGCCTCCTTCTGGGCCTTATATTACACTGAGCATTTATTCTGGATTTGCTCAAAGCAGTTTTAATGTTAAATATTCCGTTCCATTGTCCATCCAAATGGCCTGCATTTTTTTAATTGATAGAATTCATTTTATTGATTCACAGAATAATGACAGCCCCAAGTGTGTAAATTTCATGTCACTTCCATATTACAAACCCACTCCATGGCTTTCCTGTTATTCGAATGTCTGGCTCCACTCAGCCTCAGATCTGTCTGTCATGCTAGTCCAGCTTGCCTTGCATCCCTGTGTTCCCCACTGTATTTCCAGGGACCCCTGAGAGACTTATCAACCTTTACATCCTTTCGACCAAAAACTTCCTCCTTCAGCTCCTTGGGGGAAATGGAGACTTATTGTTCCAAGTTTTCCTATGGTCTCCTGTATTTCTCTACTGGGAGAGGTGTCTCTGGGGGTGGAGTTAGCAAGGGAGACAAAGGAGAAAGGAAAAAAAGGGAAAAAACAGGAGCTGTTTCCAATGAGGTTGTAGGCCATGACCTAACTGATTCCACAGCCATGAAGTCAATTGCTCCACCACCTGCACAGCCCAGAACAGCCTGTGTTCTGGCTTTGCCTGCTCATGAGACCAGCCATGATGCGATGTGATGAATTTTCATAATGCCTAATGGAAGATGACCCCTTCCCAGACTTCCACCACCACCACCACCTCCCCCATACTCCTGCCTCTTCATAGGGATGGTATCAGGGGTCACAAGCAATACTCCATACTGAGTCTAAAATGTTTAGGCATATAGTAAGCCCTAAAGGAAGGTTTTCTTCTCATAGACTTACATCATGTCAATTCTAAAAGAAAAGTTCCACCTCTTTATTCTGCACAGGAGTGAACAGAGGCCCCAGAGAAGAGAGGGTAAAGTTCACTGTTGTCCAGACACTCAGTGGCTGTGATGAGACCAGAGGCTGGGTGGTTTGACAGTCAGACCACTGTGTCTCCCACTGTCCTGAGCTGCTCCCCCATGCAGTGACTTCTGGAACTGCCTCCTCCTCACTCAGCCTCACCCTATAAGCCACCAGCCCCCAAAGGTGAACAAACACTTATGAAATATTTCTGGCATTCACCTGGCAGTCTCTCCCATTTTTAACCTGGTTGCTTTTGCAAAACAACTTTCCCTGTTAAAGATGAGGTAGTATTTGCTGGGGTGTTTTCACTCAGTTCCAGGCTGATTCTTCAAACTTCCAGGCTTGGTAACTATCTCATTGGTTTCCCCATCATTGATCACCCTTGAAAAAGCTGACCTGTACTAAGTCCTCAGGAAAATGACATAGAAACCCAGAATACCTGCTCGTCAATGTAGACAAGAGGGGTGACTTTCAGATGGACTGTTTCATAGTGTCCTAGCCAGCACCTGGCCTCTGAAAGGTGGAAAATCAGTCCATCAAAGAGCAGCCTCAGAACCAGGGAAGCTGGTGACAGGATTTGAATGGGCTCCCCAGTTGCCTTCCTCCGATTGCTAACCAGTCCCCTTCCTGGCCGGCACATCGTTGCTTTAGCTGATCAGTACATTCAGTAGGTTACTGCAGTTCTGCTGGCCCTGCAAGCCATTTATTCCCTTAGAAGAAACTTTGCCTCTTTCTGCTCTGCCCATCATGCATTGATTTCAAGCTCCTTATGGGAAAATCTTATTTCTCATATTTCTAAGTCCTTCGGTGGGGGTGGAGCTCACATAATTCAAATGTTCAAACACCTATAAATCTACTTATTTTTCTATTTTGTCCTACATTATTTCTCCCTATTATCCAAAAGAATATTCCAAGAGACTTTATGAAATGCCTTGTAAAATCCTGTTGCATCTCTGTTCAAAAGCCATCAAGGCAATCGATCATTTTTGCAGCTGAGTGATGGAGAATTATTACAATCTCCTCCCATTTTTGTATATGTTTGAGGTTTTTTTCTAAATTTTTTTAAACTAGGAAAAGAACCATCCATGCCTCCTCAGTATCCTACAAAACCTAATCTTAAACTGGATTCAGGCCCTCCTCCAACTGGTCTGAACAATCTTTTCCTGCATTACTTCCCAGTACTTTCTACAAATACCACCCCTACTCTCGCTCCAGCCTCCACACAAATATCACTTGCACCTTCCTGCCTCTGTGCTTCAGCTCATTCTGTTCCTTTAGTGTTCAACTCTGATGCTACCTCCTCTGAAAGCCCTCTCATGATCCCTTCCAACTGACAAGTCTCCACCTCACTCACAGTCCTTACTGCTTGCACTGGCTCCATGGCCCATCACCTATAATATGGGGCTTTTTTTCTATATGATCTTCTCTCTGCAGCATTTTTAGTTCTTTGAAATTCAGAGATTGCTTTTTATTATTCCTGACTGAGAATAGACCCACCCCCTCTTATGGCTATGGTGAGCACAGATTCTAGACTTCAAATCACCCATCCCATTGCCATCCTAAGGTAATTCCAGGTTGGGATTTGGAGCATATGGTCCCCACACTGTTCTTCACCTGGCAAAGAATCATGCACATAGGAAGTACCCAGGAAATGTTTAACTGGATGATTCTTTTATTGCATTCATATTTCCACCAGCTGTGCAGCCTTACGTGAGCCACATGGCACTAAACTTTCCATTCATGTATTGGGAGGATTGTACACCATCAGTGCTTCTTTGTGTGCATCAGAATCAGCCTAGTGGGGCAGGTGGGTGCTGTTCAAATGCAGATGTCTAGGCCCCAGTTCTAGAGCATCTGATTCAGTCCCAGGCATCTGCATTGTAAGAAGCTTCTGGGGTGATTCTGATGCTAGTGGCCTACTGGTCATTCTTTAAGGAATACTGGCCCCAAAGGCCTGTGAAGTCTGACATGCTACCATTCTCTGGCCACTCATGACACAGACACCAGCCTTTCCCCCAGTGAGGACTTCTGCTTGCAGACCCTCCCTGGACTCATCCTGCCCTTGTTTCCCTCCTTGTTTCCCCAAGTATGTGGCTGTGGCCTGGCCCAGTCAGGCTTCTTCTTCAAGAATCAGGAGTACATCTGCACCCAGGACTATCAGCAACTCTATGGCACCCGCTGTGACAGCTGCCGGGACTTCATCACAGGCGAAGTCATCTCAGCCCTGGGCCGCACCTACCACCCCAAGTGCTTCGTGTGCAGCTTGTGCAGGTGAGTGGATGACCAGCCAGGGCTGAGACCCTCTGCATAAGCCCCAGGGCAGGGGAAGACCTGGCTTTTTCCAGGAAGTTCTGGGGTTTACAATGTTTATGCTGGGCATTTAGATTTCTGGAGGCTCAGGTGTGAAAGGATCTGATTTAAACATTGTAGCATCTGAATCTTTCTTATAAAAATACATTCTGATCTAAAACACTTGTATGTCCTATGATAGATGCAGAGTAAGGATCTGCCTCTCCAAACTCAGCCTCCCAATCCCTCTGAAAAGGCCCCCAAAGAAACCACTGAGTCTCTCAGAACTCAGTTTGGAAACCATGGACCTGGCCCAGCCTCCCACATCCTCATCCACAGATGGGACAGGGATAGCTGTTTATACCCTTCCTCCATCATCCTAGCACCACCTTGTGCTGTTGGAGTGACCCTGGCAAGTGACCCCCAACTTCTGTAAGCCTCAGCTTCCTGACCAGTAAAATGGAGGCCAAAGCCATTCCAACCTCATTGGGTTTTCTTGAAGATCAATGAGATGATGATACAAAGGCATTAGCTCAGTAACCAGTATGTGAGAGCATCTGTTTTTATTATTTTCATTATCATGATGATAGTCATCTACCTCCTCTCAGGACATCTCCAGGGATGGAGAGCTCATCCCTGCCTCCTGCTGCACTCTCTGCATCTCCATCACTTGTTAATTCAGCAAGTGGACATTAAGACTCCACTGAATGCCAAGCAACACATTAAGGAGATGAAAAAATGAAGGAAGCTCAGCCCTGCCCACAAATACATCAAATTTTAACGGACAGCTCTGATTACATCATAAGTAAAGCATGATTAGAGTATATTTTTTTTAATTGGGAAATGAATGTACAGATCATTCTCCCCCATAAAATAACCACCAGTCAGTTACCAGTTAGAATAGCTAGTTAGAGTTTCTAACTGAGACTAATGACAGAGTGTGTAAGAAAACATAATCCCCTCATGGAATTCACTCAGCTACCCAGCTCTTAAAACCTGAGCCCTGAGACCTGGAATCCCACACCCGTCAGAGGTTAGCTCAGAGGATTCCTATGGTACAAGATGGGGTTTCTTTCAAGCCCCACAGAGATGAGGTGACTCCTGACAATCACGTGATGTCTTTCTACCACAAGCTAGTGGCTGGGCCACCATAAGAACATAGCTCCCCGAACTCTCGCCCCAGTGATCTCTCCATCATGCCACAGTGCTAATACAAGGACAGTGGAGCCCCTGGGAGCCGATGTTAGGTGCTGTGCTCAGAGTCCTCATAACAGGCATCCCAACTGCATCGACAAGAGCAGCTCAACTGTGGGCATGGTGATGCCAGGGATTCTATATTCAGTTCATAATTTAGTTGAGGAGGCAGAGCATGTACAAATTTGAGACTCCTCAGCTGTGGAAACTGAACAAATCCAGAGGAGGAAAAGAAGAGATTATTTACAGACCTACACACTTCCTATTGAGAAGGAAGATTTTGAAAAATGCCTGAGTAGTAAAAGGAGGAAATCTTGGTAAGTTTGGGAGGTGAATAAATTCTTGACAGATGGGGATAGATCAAATTGGGATGGAAAAAGTCCTTCCGAGAGAGAACAAGTATATGAGGAGTTAGTAACCTCTATTTCTTACAGCCGAGACATGTAAGCTCAGATAACCATCATGATCTGCCCAAAATATACAAGCAGCCCAACTGGGCTCCAGTTCTGGCCGCCAGGCCCTAATTGGGCAGTTTAGTTGACCTGTCACTGTGAACAGCATTTGAATTTGCATGGTGCTCTAGAAGTCAAGCTGTATGTGTTACCAAAGTGCTTTGAGAACATGCGTGATCTGCTATGGAATCCCTCAGAAGAGGGTGTGCTGAATTTCTCCCTCATCTCACTTGTAGGAAACCTTTCCCTATTGGAGACAAGGTGACCTTCAGTGGTAAAGAATGTGTGTGCCAAACGTGCTCCCAGTCCATGGCCAGCAGTAAGCCCATCAAGATTCGTGGACCAAGCCGTGAGTCCTCCCCACGGGTATCTCCTTGTCCATGGGTGTGATCTCCCTGGGCTCCCCTATCCTAGCACTGCCAACTGCTCCCATGGGCCTGGAGGCTAGTCAGGGAGGTTCTCAACCTGGAGGCCTCCTGCATCATGACCCAATAGGCACATGGCCCAGACTCACCAGCTTCATAAGCACAATGCAGGGAAGAGAGGCTGCCTGGCCATAAACAGTGGTAGCCAGTGCCACATATCTGTCACATGGTATGTCTCCTCTGGGACAAGCTGAGTTTCTAATCTTATGTCCCACAGATTCCTCAATAGGGCCCATCAAGTGTTTTTTCACCAGTGGCTCTCAATTTTTACCAACTCCACTAACAAGAATTTGTAGACATGACTTACAGGAAAGGTAGTATGGGGTGCCCTGGGAGCAAACCACAAGAGTTGTGTTAGTGCCTCTTAGAGTGTTCCATAGACAATCAGCTAGAGAACCATAGTTCCAACAGCTTCACTGTAGGATTTGTAAAAATACTGTAGGATTTGTAAAAATGCAGGTGCCTGTACCTCTAGGGATGGAACCTAGGAATCAACATTCTTAGTAAGCTTTCTGGGTGATTCATTTGCTGTTCCTGAGATTCAGAACCCCTGTCTAGGGATAAGGGGAGCATCTGTCATACCATGGTGAATATTATATTTTATCACCAACCACATATTTGGAGGGAAACTGAAGATCAGGAATGCACCTCAGAATGGTCATTCTAATTTGTGGGATGTCCATTCCACTCAAGTGCGCCTAGTGATAAGATGTCTAAATCACTGTTCCCAGATGCCCTTGTCAGGCTGCTGCTGCACATGCCCACACACACATAGACCCAGCCCCCTGAGTCTCAGTCAGCCATGCTAGGCTCCAGTGTTCTTTCATGTTATATGACACTCTCACTGGCCTCGATGAGAGAATCAATGAAAACCCATTAGCCTCCTATGTTGCACCGTGCGGGTGCGGGGTGCTGTTGGCCATGGCACCAGCAGAGTCAGCATGCTGGGCTGCATCCAGCTGGAGAGAGTGAGCAGAGATCACCCCAAGTCAGCAGGGCTCAGCTCCCAGAGGCTCCCCTGGAGTGCATCCAGCCATAGTGAGCTGAGGAGAAAGACAGGGGGAAGGCTCCCTCCCTTGCCTGCTCTTCCTTTCAGCCAAATCAGATCTATTCCTGGAATGTGCAGAGCCCTTCCTTCGACGTCCTTGATGATGCTCAAGAATAGATTGGTGTACAAACCAGGTTTCCATGTCAAGGTGGCTGAGTGCATACAGTGTTATCCTTCACAGCTCCTTGAAAGCATCATCCAGAGTGACAGAAAAACAAGGAGGCTGGGATGTGGGATCACAACCTTGTGGCCAATGCTACTGAAGACCCCAGAGACTGACGGGATCACGCATGAGGCAGGAGAGAGAGAAGTGAGCCTGAGTTGGGAGGCTGCCAAACTTTTGTGTGCTGCAAAACAGTCATGAAGCCTCCCTGAGACTCAGTTTACCGAGTATGAAAGAGGGATAGAGTTTCCATTATTCCTCACAGGAGTGTTGGGGAAAGTAAATGTACTAGTTCAGGAATCAAATTAGCACATATTTCAGTGTGTAGAATGCTCTATAAATACAGAGTGAGGGATGATGTTGGGGGAGGTTTAATATAGAAAGCACACCAAAAGAGGTTGAGAAGAAGACTCCTAGGTCCGTTGCTATTTTCCCTGGTTTGGGTTGTGTGTTACTGTGTGCATTTGTGCTACACCCATCACCTACTCTATTGGGTGGGAGATTTCTTCAGCTGAATGTGGGAGTCTCACATTGAGTTTGTTTTCAAAGAGAGGCTCCCAAATTTCTCCAGCATAATTTGGATGATTAGGAGGTGGAAGAAGGTGAGGAAAGAGTGAGTCAAGTGAAGCATGTGAGCATATAGGCAGTTTCCAATGGGGACATACTTAGTATTATAGCTTATCTTGTTACTCACAAAGTAAAGACATCAATCCGTGGATCTATAGTGGTATGTTTTATACAGGTGGTCACTGGTCATGCTGCAAATGCAAAGTAGCTCCTGACTAGACAGGGTATTGGAAGGTCTTCTCAGCTCCCATGGGATGCAGAAAACCAAAGCCAGATTTAAGAGATTGCTAAAAAAAAAAAAAAAAAAAAAAAAAACATATAATGGAAAAGGAAAAGAAGGACAAAATAGTTGGGTGTTGTTTAAGCTGTAAGTGTGACGTTTCATCTCTGGAGAGTACATAAAGATATTCTGGAAAATTTGGAGCAGTGTCTACTCCAGAGAGATCAAAAAAAATACTCAGGAACTGTCAAGAGGAAATAATTTCGTTACCTACCACAGGAAGAAGAAATGTCTTCTCACCAACCTCACTAAGAAGAATCACCAATGGTAGCAGCAGAAACCCCACCATCACCACCACCACCACCACCAACATCACAATCACCACCACAGTAACCATCATCATTGCAAACATTGATTGACTGTTACTATTTCCAGGCATCTCAGTGAAAAGAATCAGCAGCAGTCTCAGCAGCAGCACCACCAGCATCGCCTTCACATCACCACCACCGCCACCATCCCTAATATCACCACCATTGCCATCACACCACCACCATAACCATTATATCATAACATCTCCACCATCACTACCATTGCCATCACCTTCATACCACTGCCCTCACCATCATTATCACTAACATCACCAACATTATCATTATCATCACTACTACCATCATCACCACCACTATGTTCACCATCACCACCATCATCATGACCAATACCATCAATGCCACCACCAACACCACCAATACAATCACTACCATCATCCTCACCACCACCTCCATCACTATTACCACAATAACCACCATCATTGCTAACACTGATTGACTGTTACTGTTGCCAGATACTGCAAAAACCTCATTAAGAACAATCAGAAGCATCATCACCACCACCATCATCATCACCACCTTCTCCACCATCACCACCAACACCCATGTCTTTACCAACACAATCACCACCATCACCAACACTACCATAATCACCACTATTACCAGCACCAGCAGCATCCATACCATCACCACCATTATAATTACCACCATCACCACTGTCACCACCATCACCAACAACACTGTCATCACCAGCAATACCACCATCACCAACAATACCACCATCACCATCACCAGCATTAACATCAATTATTACTATTGTCAAGCATTTCAGTAAGTGTTTTATACAGAATATTTCATTTAATTATTACAACAATTGGATGAAGGAGATAAGAGTAGTTATTTTATAGATGAGAAAACTGAGACTCAATGAGCATAAATGACTTGTCCAAAGTCACCCAGATAATGAGTAATGGAAGTAGAATGTGAGACCAGGCAGTCTGGCCTTAGATCCTATTCCCTTAACACCCTGTACCAGAGATAGGACTTGCAAGTTGGGAAGTCTTCCTGGATTCATTGCCTAAAACAAGGTAGGGAGCTTGCTATGACTCACAAAACCCACTCATTTTTTCTGATTTAAATAGAATGAATGACACAGTCTAAAAAGGCTAAAAATGGCTGTCTAGCATCTTTAGGAGGCCTCAGTTTATAACAGAGGGATCTGGGAGGGACAGGTGGTAGCATCATACATTCTGCCAGCTGAAGATTGTAATTTTGGAATAGAGAGGAACATATGGAGGAGTGGACAGCTGGCTCTGCAGACACCAACTTGGAACAGGGTGTGGTTTTCCTGATTCTATTTATTACGCCAGACCCACAGGCTCCCGAGTGGCATGCCTGAGACTCCACTGGTGGTCAAGAGTGAAAGGAGGAAAAAGAGACAGAAAAGATCCTAATAAATAAGAAGCTGATATAATGGGGAAGCAGCAGTATAACATGAAAAGAAAAGGTGCTTAGAGAAAACATCCCAGAATTCTCACAGGGATCAGCAGGCTTCCTTACAACAGGACTATTGCTCCTGACTTCAGAACAGAGGTTGGGGAATGCACAGAATGTAGATTAAAAACAGGAGAATGTGAATTAATATGACAACAACCACTTATTTGATACATATGGGCCAAGCATTGCACTAAGGTCTTATGGGCCTGATTTTAATTAACCTTCACACCAGTGTTATAAGGAAGATATTCAGATGAGCAAGTCTGGACTTAGAGAGCATACAACTCATAAGGGAAGGAGCTGGGATTCTCTCCTAGGCCAACTTCCCACCACTTACTCCAACCCTCAGTCCAGCCTCTAACCACTGTGCTGCACTACTCCTACAGCTTAACTCAAGGTTACAAATTCATCTCAGATGTACCACTGAAACTTGAAGAGATAGGCTGCATTACCAGAAGGTGGCCATGAAAGGATATAGCTATGCAATAAGTTTTTTTGATGGAGTGGAGAATTGTGCTGTTTGCCAATAATGTCTATCTCTGTGGAATCCACAAGTAAATGTGATCAGTGGATGACTATGTCAAGCAAGAAAAGTGTAAGGAATAAAGAAGAGAGAAACTATAGTTGTCTTTAATTATTTGAAATAACTGTCATATGGGAAAAGAGGCAGATTATTCTTGATGCATATGAATGGAAGCAGTCAGAGTGTTATACAAGAAAACTCAAATACAGACCACAGTTAGTATCACACACACAAAAAAAAAAAAAAACAACAACAACAACGGGAGTAGTCACAGGAGTCAGCTCCAGATAAAGAAGACAGCCATGACAATCATACCTGTCCAAGGGCAGAGTGGACTTCCTCAGGAGGGGTTGACCTGCCCACTACTGGAGGTGATTAAGCAGAGGAGAGGTGCCCACTTGTCAAGAATGCTGTAGATTCCTGCATTGGGTGGGATGTTTGACCAAATACTCTGTGAACTCCAAACCCCTATGGAATTTCTAGGCCCTGTTGGGGAGGCCCATGGAGATACAAGTTCAGTATTAGTGGCCTAGAAAGCTTGACCAGGTGTCTAACATCTTGGGTTCCTCTAAACTGAGCTTTGGCAAGTCATTTCAGACCCCTGTCTATCTAGAAAAGAGAAGAGGGTACCTGACCTCTCTAAATTATTGCACTCAGAAGTCTGTAATTATTGGGCAGGGGGTGGAAGTAGACTTACAGACTTACCCTAAGACAATAAAAAGGAAAAGAGTTAAATCTCAAAATTCTTTATTCTCCCATCCCCCATCTGAAGGCCTGAGGCTTGAAGCATTTTGCAAGTAGAGACCTTCTGCCCCCAACTTGCACTAAGTGATGTTAGAAAGACACACAACAGCCAAGAGGCATAGTACTATGGGAACTGACACATACAAACACTTCATCAGGGCCCCAGACCCTCCCCACAGCCTGCTGGGCCCACCACCCTTCCTGGATTTGCAGACACATCATCTTTTCTTCTAGGACTGGCTCCCAGCTGGATGTAGGGGCTGTCCAGTCAGGATCCCCCACATTTATATGCAGTTTCTGCTCTCCTCAGTATTCCAAAGTGTGTATTTGTCTTATAGTGCCAACAGGGAAGTTTGTCCTCTGGTCAACTTTGCCCCATGACTCTTTCCTCCTCCAAAGTGGGCCATCCGGTTGGCTAGGCCTGAATTCCCAGCAGTTCCCAAGTGCCTTGGACGTTGGCTCCATTTCCGGACCCTCCCCAGACATTCATTGAGCAACAGGCTGATGCTAGACTTGGCCCACATCCTGTTGGCCCCAACTCACATTCCAGAGTGACTGTGACAGGGAATGAGGGCACCTTTCTGGTTTGGGACAGTCTCATCAGACTCTATAATCCTTGCCACCTGAGAATGCACATGTTCGACATTTGAATGGGGAAGGGGTAAGTGTGGTAATTCTGTTTGTTGCCTGAGTACCATCAGGCCCATCCATTCATACACATTCAGCAAATACGCTTTGAGTTCCTGCTATGAAACTACCATGCTTTGCGCTAGGCAGAGGAAAAGATTTAACCACAAAATATAAACACAGTCCTTGCCATTGAGTATATAGCCTAAGGATTTGAAAAATTGTATGCTTAGCCCATCCCCAGGAGCAATGCTTCTTAAACTTTGAGGTCTTGTTAAAATTCAGGAGGTCTGGGTGGGGTCTGCAATGCTGTACACTGCCAACTCCCAGGTGATGCAGACGCTGCCAATGCCAAGGTCATGGAGAGCAGCTTAGTTAGCAATTTGAGCAGGGCTGGAAGCAGTGCAGGGTCCGCTTTCAGTGAACTATGTGGTCTTGATGAGAAGCAGGGAGGTCTTTTTTCTTTCCTACACCAAGACCCCTTGTCAAGAGGCCAGGGCTCCAGTGGCCTTTCCTCTCACCGGGAAGAGCCTCTGGGCATCTGCCAGTGTCAGGATGGGAGCAACTATGGGGACACTGGCGTTCAGGGAGGAGTTTCCTCGATGTGGGCCTGAGATAGTGGGGTCAAAGGGCCCAGGGTGCTTCCCTCAGCAGTGTCCTCTTATCTCTGCAGACTGTGCCGGGTGCAAGGAGGAGATCAAGCACGGCCAGTCACTCCTGGCGCTGGACAAGCAGTGGCACGTCAGCTGCTTCAAGTGCCAGACCTGCAGCGTCATCCTCACCGGGGAGTACATCAGCAAGTGGGTTCCCCCGCTCCCGCCCCAGCTGCCTGGGCCTCCGCATTCTGCGGGTCCTGCCCCATCGGCCCATGCCTGCATCTGCAGCATCATCTCCCTTCCCTTCCATCGCCTGCTGCACTCCGGCCAAACAGTGTCTTTCCCAGCTGCCTTTTTCCCCCATTGGGAGCTCCTGGCAGGTTCCCTCTGCCTGAGACGCCCTCCCTGTTCCTCGCATACCTGCTGCCACTTCTCTCCCTTCTGGTCTTGGTCCCCATGCCCTCTCCTCAGGCCATCTCTCATTTATTGCCCATTATGAGTCCTCAGAGCACCTCGTTGGTTTCCTTCACACAGGCTACCACCATCGGTAATTACCTATTTGTCCCTTCTAACTTTGTAATAATGCTAGTAATACTAACTACTGTTTATCCAGCTTTAATTATGTAGAAGGAACTCACTACTTTGCATGACGTATCACTTTAAATCCTCATAACTGCCCCTTTGAAGAATTTATCGCCACTGAATACTCAGACTTGAGGGAGTAAATAATTTGCTCCAAAAATAGTGTTTAATCTCTGTCCCCACCAGGACAGGGACTTTGTTTTCATCACTGCTATATCCCCTCTCAATAATATAGTTGCTGAGTGAATTTAGTGGAGAGGACGTGATTGGTGCATAGAGTTATCTAGAGGGGCCAACCTCCAGTGATCCACACACTGCACTGTTAGACAAGTGGCCACTTGTTGCTGGGCCCCAGTGACCACATTTGTATACTCAAGTACCTGAAAGCAATTATCAGCAGAGACCTTTGTCACAGCTTTGACACCATACGACCCCAGATGCTTCTAGGTGCCACTCTCTGGCCTGATGTCAGGCAATGGCAAGCACGCAGAGCTGCAACTGCTGTCCAGACCTTGCAGTCTAATGCGGGAAACAGATACGCTGCATTCATGAAGAATTGTGACACCAGGGAATGTGTGATCAGGTGCTCAGACAAGCTTTATTCTTTAAGACCTGTTTGATCTTAAGTGACAGAAAACCCAACTCCAGCTCAATTGAAGGCAAAAATAGGAGTTTATTAACTCATAGAAATGGGAAGGCAAGAGGCACACTGGCTTCAAGCATGTATTAATCCAGGGGCTTAAGGATGTCATTAGTACTTCAGAAGTCTCTGCTTTTCTCTAACTTTTGGTCTCTCTCTCTCTCTCTGTCTTTCTCTGCTGTCTTCTTGGTGGATCAGTTCTCAACCTGGCCCTCCCCAAGTGGTAGCAAAGAATATAGCCAACAACTCCAGGCTTTCATTCCATCAGTTTACCAAGCCTAGCAGAGAAAGAGGCCTCTTTCCCATGGAACTCCAGCAAAAGTCCCAGGGCTGCCTCTGATTTGGCCACTGTTAGGCCACATGCCCATTTCTGATCAATCACTGGCCCAGAGGATCTGAACCCTAGAGCCAGAGAGCAGCCCTTGGTGACTGACCCACAGGGACCTCAACTGGGAAGGGGCAGCTTCCAAAGGGAAGCTCCTGATCTGGGTGAGGTACTATTACCAGCAGAAGGGGAAATTAATGCTGGCAAATAACAGCTGCCTATGTCCAAGATAACAAGTAAAGGACTGTGAACACTCAGAGAAAAAGAGGATGACTGCTAAGTAGCATGAAGTAGAATCCTGAATCTCTGAGAGTTCTATGGAATAGGGTTAAGATTCGAAAATGCAAAGGAGGAGAGCTTCTAGGCAGAATGGCCAGCCTGGGCAAGACCAGGGTGGTAGGGGAGCGTTGGACGCCTCCAGCCTGTGTAGGAGCTCAAGCATGTGCCTAGGTGAAGCAGGATCCTGGGGTGCATAGGTGAGCTGAGGTCACATCACCAAGAGCTCTTGATGCCATGCTAGTGGGAGTTTGGCATTCCCCTTTATGCCTACCAAGCAAGGAGTGCCCTTAGTACGTTTCCAGCCAGAAGTGCTTGAATCTGGAAACCTAAATCAGAATTCTCTGGGGACTTAAGGGGTTGTTCAGAGCTTCTCTCAAGGAGGCCCAACCCAGATTGCCCACCACACCTGGTGCCTCTACAGTCTAGCTCTGGGCCCCTAACCTGGCTGCTGGCAGAGTGGCAGGGGCTCAGAGGCACTGGCTCAGGCACCAGATGCCCAGGGTGGAAGCCCAGCCTGTGTGACTTTGGCAAGGGACTCCACTGCTCAGAATCTCAGTTTCTTCATTTATAAAAATGGAGAGAAGATAATCTACCCCGTAGGGTTGTGTAAGGTCTCAGAGACCTGTGCTTAGCACCTAATAAGTGCCCAGTAAATACTCATTTTACCATCCTCCTCTTTTCAGAATTGTGTATTTCTAATTCCCCAAGGCTTCACCAATGACAGATCCAAAAGAGACTGTGTTGACATTTATACCCAAATTTTGTTGGCTTTTACATCCACCTTCTGACAAATGACTTTTTCTCCCCTCAGAGCTACCCTCCCACACCCACAGAGTGAGAACCTGATTTAGCGGGGGTGGAGTTGAAAGGGTTGGGGAGGTGTGTCTCATGGGATGGCAAATAATCCTTGCCTGTTGGCACAGTAATACATCCAGACCTTGGTCGGGTGTGAGTCCTCATTGCTGCTTCTCCTTCAGGAAAATGCTGCCTAGGGTGGGCCCCCAGCAACCTCAAAAAGGCAACAGCTTCGAAATGGAAAAGTGATGTGCCCCTCCTTTAGGGTTCTCAGTGTCTGAGCCAAGTTCTCTTACAACCAGAAGTGAAGGAAATGTTTCTCTCTCCTCAGAGTTCAGACTTGGTCATTAGAGCAAGGCAGGGCCCAGAAACTAGGCTGAACTCTGATACCTCCAACTATCTTTATATCAGTCCTAAAGACCTGAAAACCAAATGTCCTTCTCAAAGACGCCTCTCCGTGATCATAGAGATTCCTCCAGCTGCAATTTGCTGAGTACTCAGTATGGCTGGGCGCTGTCCTGAGCCCTAGGGTACCCTAGACCCATCTCCTTTAATCCTCATGACAACCTGGATGAGAGACTAGACCACCTGGGTTTGAATCCCAGCTCTAGGTCATCCCGGGTGGCCTGAGACAAGTTACTTAAGTGCTCTATGCTTGGATTTCATCACCTACGCAATGGGGATACTAATAATTCTGACTCATAGGATTGTCAGAAGGATTAAATGAAATAATCTGTAAAACACCATCAAAGAGCCCAGCACACACCAGCAGTAAATGTTAGTGGCTATTAGTCATAGGGGGTGGTATACGAATAAGTGATAACAATCTTATCACTGTCCGCTAAGTGATAAGCACTGGGTAAAAATGGAGCACTCAGGAGGTGGTCCCAGGAGGCTTCCTGTTATCTACTGGTCTGGGAGTACTCTCAGATGATTGTTTCACTACAGATGAAATTGTTTATTAAAGGAGGAGCCTCGAACTTTGGCTCAGCCACCACGGGCTGCAGGTCCTAAATCTAACTGCCATGTGACACCCTCACGGATCCTCCCTAACTTCCTCACCCTGGGTGAACTTCTTCTTGCAGGGATGGTGTTCCATACTGCGAAGCCGACTACCACTCCCAGTTTGGCATTAAATGTGAGACTTGTGACCGATACATCAGTGGCAGAGTCTTGGAGGTGAGTGGGTATAAGTAACTGTGAAGATGTGGCAGGGTGACCTTTGCCTCCAAAAAGTCATCACAGAAGGAGAAAGTCACCCCACACCTTTTTTCCTCTACCTCCTCCGGCTTTGCTTGCTACATGACCTTGAGCAGACAATCTTGCTGAGATCTCTGGGAAACCCCAAAATGAGAAAGTGGACAAAATTCTTCCTGGTTCAAAAAATGCTGTGCTGGGAAAATCAGTTGCATCTTTGATTCAGACCCAGACAGACTTCTAGAGAATGAAATTAAGATTTTCCTCCCAGCCCTGCTAGAGGATGGAAGTCTTTTTTTTTTTTTTTTTTTTTTTTTTTTTTGTATTGGGTAATTTGCTGATATAAGAGCCAGCTTGTCTAGCAGCTTGCTCCCTAAGCCCTTCTTTGGTGGGTCCATCACCATGGCAACACCTCTCCCCAGCCTTTGATGCATGACTCCTGCAGTAACAGACAACCTGCAGTACCCTTGCTGAGGCCTGGTGAGCCCCTGTGCACTGGTCTTTCTGGCCTTTCTTCCTATACCCTGTGCGGCTGGAAGTTATCTTCCTATACTTTGGGACCACCCACCTTGAAGAATTAGAAACAGGGAAGGACTCAGTGGAAAGGAAAAATAATAGCCTAACAGGAATAATTTAGTTCTAATGTTGACTCTACGGCTAACTCCTGCTCAGATTTTGGGTAGTTATCTTTGCTTTTCAAGGCCTCCGTTTTTCCATCTGACAATAGCTGGAAGATCAGATCGGGTCAGGTATTGTAAGCAGAATGATTATTTCTGCCAGTCTGGCCAGTTCGTTGTGATTACCATGAGTGCTTTGTTGAGAACAATTCTGCAGCCACATGTGGACTCAGCAGGAGGGAATGTAGCAACCAGGAAGGAACTCTCTGAGGATGTGCACTGAAGCAGAGCCCTGAGGGTGAAAGAGCCATCCCTGAAGGGTCCTGAGGTGGGAAGAGATATAGGAAGAATGAGCCATATCCATTCAAAGAACAGAGAACCCACATGTAGCTGCAGATTTTTTTCTCAACACAGCACTCATGGTAACCACAACCAAGATGCCAGATCTGGCTAAATTAATGATTCTGCTCACGATAGCTGACCCAGTCTGCCAATGTGGTTGAATTATATAAATTGAGGGTAGGGAAGGATGAAATATAGTAGCATATCATATATGGCATGCCATGTAGGACTTTGTAAACCATGTTTAGAAGTTTGGGTTTTATACTTAGTGCAATGGAAAGCCATTGGAGAGTTTTAAACCAAGGACTAACATGATAAGATTATGTTTTTACAAAGATTTCTCTGGTTATTATGTGGAGAATTGACAGAGAGAGTCAGAGCCAATGAGATAAACAAATGCACAGAGCTGGGAAACTATTAAGCGTCTCCAGGGAGCTCTAAGGAGTTCCATGCAGAAGACAAGGCCTGAGTCCAGGAAGGGTTGTTGGGGGTGGGTTTCTGAGGGCCTGGGATACCAGGGTGGGGTTTGCATGTGACTCACTGGGCAAGGGAGCATTGTGCAGAGACTGGGCAGGAATGTCCTGGTTACAGCTGGGCTTCCGGGAGGAGGACGTGATAATCTACACAGGCTACATTTGAAGGAAGGAAGCTAGAAGGGATGAGTGAGGAGGCCCCTGCATGGCCCAGGCAGGAAGGACTCAAGAGGTACAGTAGCAATGAAGAGTGCAGCCACCCTTGTGCCCAGCCCTATGGAGGTAGAATTTCAATCACTCTGCAACTGAGGGGTAGCATGTGGAGATGGGGATTGAAGGAGAAGCAGGTAAAAGTTGCACCAAAGAGTTACCTGTTTCTGGGGAATAGGAAGCTTGGTGTCATCGGCAGAACTGGGGACAGCAGGGATAAAGCTGACCTGGCAGAAACGTGGTGAGTGCCAGTTAGGATGAGTTGTGATTGACATCCCAGGAGTCAGAAATACGAATCAGAGGCTGGGAATGGTGGCTCTCGCCTGTAATCCCAGCACTTTGGGAGGCCAAGATGGGACAATCACTTAAGTCCAGGAGTTCAAGACCAGCCTAGGCAATATAGTGAGACTTCATCTCTACAAAAAAATAAACAAAATTAGCCAGGCATGGTGGTACACACTTGTAGTCCTAGCCACTCCAGAGGATTGCTTGAGCCTGAGAGGTGGAGGTTGTAAGGAGTCAAAATTGTACCACTGCACTGCAGCCTGGACAACAGAGCAAGACTCTATCCCAGGCAAGTTAAAGGGGAAAAGGAGAGAAATATGCATCAGAGCTCAGGAACAAAGCTCAGGCCTGGAGGAGCCAAACTGAAAAAGACAAGGCTTTGAATAAATAGCACCATTGGAGTCCTCGGGATTTCCAAGACAGAGGAAAGGAGAGAAGAGGCTGACACCAACCTTGGCAAGTAGCTGCTTACAGTGAAAACAACTCAGAAAGAGGCTGAGGAGGTAGCAGAGGAAGATGTGGGAGGAGAATTGAGGATTCAGTGAATGGACAGAGCTTCAGAAAACATGGCAAGGTCAGAGTGTTGGTCAAACTCTGTAGAGCAGTGAAGGACTCCACAGGCTGCGGAGAAGCTGCTGGATGTGGGAAAGGTCGCCTTCAGAAGTCGTTTCTTGGCCCTGCAGAACTGTGGGGAAGAGGCATCCAGAGTACAGTGGGTTGAAGGGTCAATGGGGTGGGAGATACCACAAAAGCAGACTTTTCTTTCCAGAAAGAAAGAACTTAGATTACAGACAGGGACACAGATGGGAATTTGTTCAGCATTTCCAAGCTGCTTTGAAATCCTGTTGGTGGCGGCTGCTGTTTCCCCGAGAGTTACCGCTGTTTAGCTTTGTGGTGGACTGTTCCTCCCAGGCAGCTGTCGTGACTGAGTTTCCATTTCTATGAGGCTCCATTAGCATCTTGGACATATTGATTTTTTTTCTTAGAGCTGGAAGAGACTTTTAGCAGTCACCTAGTTCAACCTCTTCATTTTACAGATGAGAAAAGCAAGACCAAGACGTGCAATGTTTTTCCAAGGTCACAAGCAGTATTTCTGGTAGAGACAGAGCTAAAATCTAGGACTCCAGGCTCCTGTATCCACACTGATACCCACAGCTGTCAAACACTCGGGGGTCTTTGAGGTAGCATGATATCAGGAAATAGACGTGGCTACAGTCAGACTTGAATTTAGATTGTACCACTTCTAGCCACAAAGCCTTAAGCAAGATATTTCCTCTTAGTCTGTATTTATCGATACACAGTACTACTGTCATTTAATTCCTAATGAATATGTTAGTCAGGACCTTTTGGGCTGCAACAGAAAGGAAATGTGTCAGCTCCTATAACAAACAGCCCAGGAGCTGGATCTAGTGCATAAGCAAAATCTCCAGCCATCTTGGCTTACTTTCTTCCAGGTTGAGTTTATTCTCAGGAGGGTGTTCTTGGTGGTAGAGAAGTTGGACACCAGTTGCCCCAGGCTTAGATTCTATCAGCCAGTATCGCCAGTGGAAAACGAGCTTCTCTTTTCTAATAGCTCAGCAAGCATTCTGGGACTGACTCTCATTGGACAGTCTCAGGCCCATCCCTGGACTGATAATTATCCCCACAAGATTTGAATATGCTCATTGGTGGGGTCAGCACTATTTAACCCTGTGGACTGGTATGGAGGAGAGGTAGTCCCACCAAGGAAAGGCTTAGGGTTGTTTCTGGAAGGAGGAAAGAATGTTGGTCAGGCAGGAACAGCAGTCACCCAAGGCAGAGCCCAGCACATCGTCTGACACACTGCAGACATTTAATTAAATTGTTTCTCCTTCTGTTCTCATCCTGTCCCTTCCCATCTCCTCCCTAGGCCACCCTATGATCCCTTCCTCAGTGACAGAGCTCAGTGTGCTGCCAGCCTCACTCCTTCCATTCTTGTCTGTTTCCTCACCAAAAAGGACCACAACCTTGTTTACTTGCTACATTTTCAAACCTGCTTTGCCGTTTTCAGTCCTCTCAAATAGGGCTCTGTTTTGAGGGTACCAGTTTTTTTGCCATTTTTCTTTACTGTTTTCCTGATTTCGGTTCGTAAGTAGACAAAGTGGTTCATCTCAGCTAGCAGACGTGGCTTTTTCTTACTCTGGGTACAAGCTGCCTAATAGCCTCCCTTTGCTCAAACAGTTTTTAATACCATCCAAGACTGGGGGTGCTGAGATGGGCACAAAGCTGGAGCATCTCATCTCTTTCAGCTGGGGCAAGGTAGTAGGGCATGACATTTAGGAAAATTCTAAGCTTCAATTTTGCCAAGGCACTGTTGCCACACTGGAAAACACGTCTATAATCAAAATGATAAAGAGACACAGAGTAGGAAGAGGCTGCTAATTAAACCGATTATCCTTGTCATGGTACAAAAGAATCAGTCCCACAACATTCCAGCTTGGGAAAATAGCAGGCTCATTCCAAAGTTTGAACATATATGCTTTGATCATGACAAGGACACTTTCTCATTGGTGAGAGGCCATGTAAACAATCAAACGGGAGGGAAAAGGGGGATATTGGAGATTTTTTTTCTTTTTGTAAAGGTTGGCCTTTCCCACATTCTTGCTAAGTGTTTAGAACAGAGGGAATATCTCAAGAATAGGCAAGCCCATTCCAACAATCTTCCACTCTCACCCCCCACAAAAAAAATAGATCTTCTTATTATGCAATTATCATTGTTCAAGTGGAAGGAACCTGTTAGCATCAGATCAAGTGATGTCTTGGACAGGGAACTTTAAGAACTCCTAATAGCCATCAGTTTCCCCTGGGCATTACCCTCCAAAGAAAACCCTGCCCTGACGTTGCAAAATATTTCTTCAAACAAGGCCCACTTTCCAACCCAATGGCTGCACCAAACTCCTGCATATATAAATGCTGGAGCCGCCACTGAAGGGCCCTTTTACAACAAGCCCTCTTGGCTGGGATTTTGACGTCAGAATTGTGACTCCGGAAGCGAGTGCTAAGCTGGTGACTGGCTTACACAGATCCCAGCCGAACACTGCTGCTGGCTTGCAGTGAGCCCTTGAGGCACAACCTTCTCTGAGTCTGTTTCTTCCCCCAGTGGAAGTCTTTGCAGCTGCAAATTGTTTTCAATTTTAATTTAAATAGTGATGGGGAAGGAAAGTGAAAATGGGGAAGAGGACTCACCAAAGCCACACTGGGGTGAGCTGGGGTAGGGCTGGACACACCCAGGTACAATAGTCACTGGACTGGCCTGAGGGCCCAGGGCTCCGCAGTGGGTCCCAAATCATCCATTGAGCCCTAAAAATCTGTTGTTTATGTGCCAGTCTCACAATTGTTGCCACGTCTGTGAACCTCGTGTGCTCATTCTTCCTTAATGGTTTTAGTTGTCTTGAAGTTGGCTCTCTTATATGTAAGAAACTTATATGCAGCATAACAGGAAAGCCAGTATCACTTGCCATATTGCAGGCAACCCAAAAATAAGTAGAGCTCTAGCTAGATTCTATTGCATGTGAAGGTTCCAAGCCTCACACCTGTTCACGCTCTTTAAAAGGAAGATTGGTAAGTTTCGGATAGATTGAAGATGCACAAGCACCGAACTAGTACTTCTTCCCTGACAAAATCCGAAGAATGTATAGAGGACTGAAAGGATCATTTTTTTCCATTGGTCCAATATTATTAAACCCCAAGTTCATATACCACTTAACATCATTTCATGTACCATTAGTGGTAAGTGCCCTCACTTGGGGAGATGCTGGGATGTCCTCAAAGCAAGCCTGTTTCCTCCTCTGAATATGAGGAAGTTGGACCAGTGGCCTCTGAAGGGCCCTTGCCAGTGCCAGAATAGAAGTGCAGGTGTTCAGGGAAGTCCCCTGAACTGCCATCAGCGACCCATGGAGTGAATCATGAAGCTTCCTGAGTGGACTTTTAGATGGTTGTGGACTCCCCTGGGTAGCTCCAACCACCTTTAGGGCCATGAAGATGCGAACAACACTAATGTACCCAGGAAAGATTCAAACCCAGTCTGCCCCACTAGACAGCAGCCCTGACTCTGACCTCCTGTTTCATCTCTTCATTTCCATAGGCAGGAGGGAAGCACTACCACCCAACCTGTGCCAGGTGTGTACGCTGCCACCAGATGTTCACCGAAGGAGAGGAGATGTACCTCACAGGTAAGCAAATCTAACCCTCTGCAAGGCCTTCCGATCTGCTCATGACTGGACAGGAGCTACAGTCTCCTTCAGGTTCAGAGTTATCTTGGATCTTGGCTTGTCCTCAGAATTGCAACTAATTGGCCCCTCTCTGGGTGGATCAGGAAGGTTGCCGGTGTGGCTAATATGAAGTGACATGTAATCTGCCTTCCGTCTCCGTGCACCTCCACCCACTGCCCAGCTGGCCTGCTTCCCTGGCAGCACTCTGAGCAGACTCTCCTGGCTCTGCCTGGGGGTGGGAAGCTGAGCAACACAGGGCCAAGGGGTCAGAGAACCTCAGAGGAATGCCTGGGTTGCAAAGTGTCTGTAGCATCACAGCCTCGACTCCACCTCCTTCTCCCCATATCTCAGAGCATCACACTAGGCTGCTGCTCGGGGCTTCCCAGGGACTCTCAGAATGCACAGAGGAATGAGGAGTGCCAGTCGTCTCCACAAAGTTAACTAGGGCCACTTTCCCTCGGCTGCTTCCCAGCCCTCTTGCCGTAGGATTCTTACAATGGCCTCCTAGCTCAGTCCTCTACCCTCTGCCCAGGCCACCATCCAAGGGCATCACATGCTCTTGACACTGTCCTGCTCTTCAGGGCCCCTCCCTGTCTGCCTATTTAGCTACAAACACTTCAGTCTAGCACTTAAATTCTTGCCGAGGTCCCAGACTTCTGTTGCAGCCTTGAACATACCTGACACCTAAGTGGCCAAAGGCAACTTTTGATCGTTTATTCATCCACTCAACGACTGTTTCTTGAGCACTGCCATGTACAGGCTGTGCTAGCATCAATGATGAGGCCCACCTAGCCCTACAGTCCCCTAGGGGAGAAGGGCATTAATCCATAATCACACAAATAAACATCAGCCGTGGTAAGTGTCATGAAGGAGAGAAGTGCGGGGCTTTGAGTGCACATAGCGGGGTAGGAGGAATATCCAGGAGGGCTCCCTGATGAAGGGCCAGAAGCTGATCCCGATCATGAGTGGGTGTTAACTGGTGGTGTAGTTCAACCAGGCTGCTGTAACCTGAGCAGACTGAGATACTATAGATAGGGCAACTTATAAACAGAAATGTATTTCTCACAGTTCTGGAAGCTGGGAAGTCCAAGATCAAGGGTCCCATAGATCTGGTGTCTGATGTGGGCCCACCTTCTCAGAGATAGCACCCTCTCTCTGTGTCCCCACATGGTGGAAGGGGCAAGGCAGCTCTGTGGGGCCTCTTTTATAAGGGCACTGATCTCATGACCTAATCCCCTCCCAAAAAGCTCTACCTTCTAAGACCATCTCCTTAGGGGTTAGAATTTCGACATATGAATGTGGGGGTCATACGAACATTCAGATCATAGCAACTGAACAAAAAGTGGAATAGGATACACCAAACTGAGAAAACAGAGCCTGTAAGACTGAGGTGGATGAAGAAACAGCGAGTGCATGAGAGCGAGAGGAGCCTGTGTGGCTGGGGTGCAGATGGAAGTGAGATGCATCTGGGAGGCAAGCTGGGCAGACAGACTGGACCTTGTGGTGAGACTTTGTTTGGCCTTGAAAAGAACTCATAGCCCTTCCCCTTGCCTTCCTGTGTCCTCCTTTGGAAATCCTATCTATCATTTGAGGCCCAGTTCAGTCACGACATGCTTCATAGACACTCCAGATTCCCCCAACCCCATACACAATTTAACACGGTCTCCTCTCCACGCATCCCCACAGCCCTCTGTCTGCCCCTGGTCCACTCCAGCTTGTATGAGAGTTGTTGGCCTCCTCCCTGAGGTCCTGTGCTCCTGGCACTGGTCCCTCAGCCCTGACACTGGCCCATGCATACTCCCTCCACAGGTGAGTATTGTTGGTGAAATCACTGTGATTGGATAGTCATCTTGAGAAGGAATGAGGCCCTTCCTCCAGGTAGATCTAAGGCCAGGGCAGCAGTTACAGGGAGCATGTCAGTATCAGCTTGTCCTAGCCACAATGCCCACAGCCATGAGCTCCCTCAAGAAGCAGTCAGTCACCTGTGCCTAGAGCCTAGTTCCTCAGTGTCAGCACAGGTGACACTCTGGGCTTTCCAGTGCATTGTAGGGTATTTGGTAGCATCCTTGGTCTCTACCCACTAGATGCCAACAATGTGCTTCTTCCCACTGGCAATTAAAAATGTCTCAGATATTGCCACATGTCCCCAGGGAATCAAAATCATCCTCAGTGGAGAACCACTGGCCTAAAGCTACTCAACAGAAACTTATGCCATCTGCTAAGAATCCTGGAGCAGGAATTCCTATGTTGGATTAAACCAAGTGACCATTTCTGAGATGAGATGCAGTATACTTACTTTATGAACTGATGCTGGAGGGGAAAGGATCCCAGAGTCGCTCTAAACTATAAAGTGCCCACCCTCATTGTAGAGATGGGGAAAACAGACCCAGAGTAGAAACAGACTTGTGTGAGAACAGGAGCATGTAGGGGCAGAGCAGGGCCTGGCCTTGTGACTCGCCTCCAGGGCTCTTTCCACTTTACCCCTGGGACCCAGGCCCTGCCTGATACTCAGGTCCCTGCCTCTACCTGTACACAGTAATTCCTCATTGCCAGGGTTCCTGGGTGATTCCTGCTGCAGGACCCAGTGTTACGAGGTTCGGCAACCCTCACCATGCCTTCACCGTGACCGCCACGGGAACCTGGAGTTTGCACTTGACTTGGAAACGTGTTGCATGATATTCCTCTCCCGCTTCCCTAGTGAACACACCTCCTAGTATTTAAACTGCCTTCCCATTCTCATCCCTACCTGGATATCACTAGAATAAGCCACGTCTTTGCCTCCCTGCCTGAATTCCTAATCCTAATCTTTCCCCGTTTGGTACTTTGACCCAGACGCCTCAGGGGCGATCCTAGCTCCACTGATGACTAAGTTTTTGACCTTGGGCAAGTCTAATAACTCTCTGAACCTTGGCTGCCTAATGTGTAAAATAGGCCAGGAACAGCTGCTATGAGATATGGGTGTAATAATTTCCTAACAACTGGGAAACTCCCAGTTCACTGATTTACCAAATATTTATTGAGCATCTACTGTGTCCCTGCGGCTGTTCTCACAACTGAAGATGTGGCAGTGAGCAAATCCGACAAAGGCCCTGCCCTCATGGAGCTCACAGCCTCACTGGTTAGTGTCTTCACTCAGTGTCTTTCAGCACGAAAGAGTTAAGCAATGAAGTAAAGTGAACAGCTTTGCGATCCTGAGAGAGAATGCACCATTAAACCCAATGCGGAAATGCCTCCAGGAGGTTGGGAGATATTCTTGGTAATGAAGACAGCCCTGTCACCCTCTCATTAATTATCCCGTCCCTTTCCTCCTGGCTCCTGGGAGAGTGGGAGTAATTGCAGGGTTTTCAAGGACCTGCCTCAAAGGATGCTAAGAGATCCTGGAATGAGGGGGACCAGGCCAAGCAGTGCTAGAGTCATGCTCTCTTGGGCTGTGGGTGTCTTGCGGGGGTTCTGCTACCACTGAGATCTGGACTTTGGACACCCTTACCAAATAGGGGCACCAGCACTCAATATGATATCCCCGAGAAGTGACAAGAAAACTCTGCTCCTGGGCAGCTCAGGAGTATAAAGAAATGGCTGAGAGCCAGGATTCCTGGGTTCAAGCATCAGCATTTCCACTAATAGGCTGTGACCTTGAGAAGTGACTTCCTTCTCCAGATCTCTTCCTTCACCTGTAAAATGAGGATAACATCACTGTCTTTCATTGATCCACTCAAGTTGCCAGGCTCTCTGCTACATGTTGGACATTCAGAGATGAGCAAGGCAGGCATGCTTGCTGCCCCAGTAGAGTTCACTCTCCGGAAAGAGAAACTGACAGTGCCAAATAGAAGCATCAACACTCAATGACAAGCTGTGACAAGTACCGAAAAGAGAAAGTTTTGGAACAATGGGCATGTGTTATAAAAGCCCCTACTCTAATCTGGGAAGCCAGGGAAAGTGCCTCTAATAAAAGGGATATTTCAAGCCAAGGTCTTGAAAATGAGTAGGAGGTGGGAGGCTGAAAAGGGCAGGAAGATTGAGGAGGCAGCAAGAATTGGGAGTGCAAATGTCCTCCCTGGGTGGGTAGAAGCATTACAAGGTGGAGAAACTGAGGCAGGCCCACTTACCTGAGCCTATGCCACAAGATTCTCACGAACATTAGTGGAGAGAGTGAATGTGAAGGCACTGAGGACTCCATAAAGCAACTTATATAAGAGAGAGAGTGTCAGGATGCCTGCAAAGCTTACAAACCCAGCCTTGTCAGTTCTGGAGCTGGAAACAGCATGGTACTGGCAAATGGTCCTTGGGAGATTCTTTGCGTGAGTTTGTTTGTGTTTTAATTGCTATGTGATGGCTTTCTGATGGGCTCTAATTGGGAGAAGTCTGACATTTGTCTGGTGGAGAACTTCTGGGACCACAGGAGACAAGAGCAAGTTTTATTTGTTTTAAGTTCTGTTGTGTATTCAATCTTTTAACTGTTTTTGTCAAGATGCCAAATATCTAATCTGTTTGTTATCCAAACCCTTCATTTGGGCTTCACCAGGAAATTAGGTCACTGATTTTGTGCAGCAAAATAATGGCCAAAAAGCTGCAGGTTCAGGCCAAAATTTATACTGAAATCTCAAAGGTTGCAGTTACTGGATCAGTGAGAGGTTTTTAAAATCCCAAATGTGATTCGTGAGATAAATTTTGTTCTTGTTCTAAATGTGCCTGTACCCAGGAAAAGGGAGAAAATAGATTCTTCTCCCCTTCTGTCTACACCAAACACCCCCCATTCTAAGACCTGAGACAATAACCCTGGAATTACACAAGTTCAGCTGTACCTTTTTAAACAATTCTCTGATATCATTTGTATATTTAACTAAAACCCACAATACAGGAAATCATTTATAAAATACTGGACAAATCCTGCTCTGCTAAAGAAAAGTATTATATCAAGTTGTAGGTCTCACCAAAACTCATGATAATATTAATAATAAAAA